CAAAAGATATGGACAGAACACAGCGTTTGAAGTTTGGGAGGAATTAAAAAGAAATTTTGAAATATTAATTCAGATTATTCAAAAAATACGAATTTTACAACAGGTCAAAATGATAGGAACGATTTTATTTTTAAGTTTAAAGCAGTAGTTTTAAAATAGTATGAACATTAGATCTCACCAAACGTTGTTTTGTTTTCATTAAGCGCGTTTTAGACTGATTTGAAATTTGTTAAAATTGTTTTTCATTATGGGCAAAGGGAAAAAGCTAAACAAAAACCAAACAATTCAAATTTAGACATTAAGATCCAAAAAATTCTGGGAAAAATTTCAAAATCATTAAACGTTTCTAAAACAGTTGTTTTTAATTTTTTAAAAAATCCATTGACTTATGGAACCAAAAAAAAGTACTGGCAGGCCACAAAAACTAACAAGAAGAACAAAGGCACTTCTAATTCGAAAAGCCTGTGAGGGTACAAGCAGTTCTCTTGAGTTGCTAAATGACTTACAATTAAACTGTAGTATCAGTACTGTAAAAAGATGTCTAAAGAAATGCAATTATTTGAAATTTGAGAAAAAAATCAAATCATTGCCACTGACAAAATTTCATAAAGAGCAACGATTGCAGTGGGCAAAAGATCATGTTACCTGGGATGGCAAATGGAAATTTGTCATCTTCTCTGATGAAAAAAAATTCAATCTTGATGGTCCAGATGGCAACAAATTCTATTGGCATGATGAGAAAAAAAGATTTATTAAGAGTCAACAAGGTGGAGGGTCAGTCATGGTTTATGGTGCTTTTTCATTCAAAGGAAAAAGCAAACTGTCAATTCTTCAAGGACACCAAAATTCTCAGGCATATATAAATGTTCTTTCACAATGTATGATGCCTTTTGCACAGTCAAAACATGGAAAAAAATTTATATATCAACATGATAATGTCCCAATTTATACATCCAAAGCCACTAAAGAATTCCTAGAGACCCATAAAATTGATGTTTTACCATGGCCAGCATTATCACCTGATCTCAATCCAATTGAAAACTTGTTTATTTAGACAAGTTTATGCCAATGGAAGACAATTTAAAAATCTAACAGGTGAAAAGCCTTAATTACAGTAACTTAAGTATTTTATTGGTGCTATTTGTGTCACTTGCGGAACTACTTCTCTTCGAGCGGTGAGCCACATCGTTATAGTTCCGTGGAGCCAAACCTAGTCATCAACCCAAGCCCGCACTATGGCTGCTGCAGTTCCGTTCTTGCGGGGTGGAAACCTCAACTTAGTTGTGCAGGCCGCTCCGAGCTACTGGACAGGGTACACGTCGAACGCCATGCCCGGGTGGGCAGCCCTAAACAGCGACACGAGAAGATTTGCCGTGGCCTTCCTCTTCAACTCGCTAAAGGCTCGGCACCTGGGCGCCCGGAAGCCGGCGTGGATGGATAGCACAGAGAGGATTCGGCTAATAAGTTATCTAGAAGCAATTCTAGAACCGACGTGTCCGCTCATCATCGGCTCGTGTCCTGCGGCAGCTCCTGGCGCGGCGATCGCGCTCCCTGCTGCGACGGAGGTTGACCCAGCTGCTCCGGCTGGCACTCCCTTTCAGGACCAGCTGGTGATGACATACCGGGCTGGCGGTGCCGCTGCTACTTGGGCGGGGGATGTGACCACAGTTACGTTGCCACAGGCGCTAGCTGCGCAAGCGGAGCATTACATGAGCGCTCAATTTACGTTCGTCCTTGCGCTTGCTAAGAAGGGCGACAGGACACGCCAGTTCAGCGCGAAGGCAACCAGAGGTCTCCAGCTCGAATTAGGACTCTCCAACCTGGAAATCTACAGCGATGAGGTCGCCTGGATTGCTACTCGAGTCATTAACTCCGCGAGTCTTCCGACCGAAGCCGCGTGGGCTAATCTGTTCGCCGCTGTCCTAGCCGGAAACAATATCCCCGAGCGCGTGCGAACGGTCACGACTTGGGCTCAGCGAGCAGGCACAACCAAGTTGCAAATCCTCTTAACGGCCTAAAGGCAGCATCCCAACTTTGACTGGGTCGCCGTGGACCGTGCGTTCCCGGGAGAGCTGCAACATGCTCAGACTACGCACACGGTGCTAGCAACAGAGCCCTATCGGGTGTTCCATCACCCAAATCCGGCCGGACCGTGGCAGCCGACTGCGTTTCAGAACGCAAGCCATGTAGCATTCCTCCTGCTGCAAGCGTGTGGCGACGTGTCCCTTGCTTCTTCCGCCGGGTTCAGGAACCACAACCTACTGGGGCTCGCCACTTGGCAGGGTCATTGTGCTGCATACGCGACGGCAAATGCTAACGCCAGGCTAGGAGCAGTCGATGTGACTGCCACAGCTGCCCACCCAGTAGCAGGCGTCATTTTGTAAGATAATGAGGTCCATCACTTAAGGGTACTAGTCGTACATTCCAGGTACTCACAGTGGAACATCTAATCTCTTGCGTATATGCATGTGTGTGTTGTGGAAGCAGCAACTGTGCTTCCAAGTGCAAATGTTAGGTTCCCTAGTCACTGTAGCGCGTTAATCTAGTTCACTGTCTATCTCAGGGTCTTTTCTGATGCAGTGAAACTTATTCTATTCACTATACACTTTAAAAATTAATTTTTTTTTTCATTTGTTCCTATCGTTTTGACCAAGCATTTAAATCATTAAAATCATTGTTATTCTGTTATCTAAGACCTATAAAGCTTTAAACATATTTGTTTACATTATTGTGTTTTAAATGTTAATAGAAATATACTGTGTAAATATTATTTAATATGGCCCATTTGTTTTGAAGAAAATTAAAAAAATCCACCGTTCCTATCATTTTGAGCCGCACTGTGTGCATATATATATATATATATATATATATATATATATATATATATATATATATATATATATATATATATTAGGGTGGTTCACATTTGAATGAGGAAAAAAATTTTTTGTCTGATTTGAGTGCACACCCTCTGAAAAGTTTCCATTGGGTCCTAAAAACTTACAAACCAAAAATAAGACAAATCAAATTAAATTTAGAGGTTGCTCATGCATCTCAAAATTATATAAAAATGTGATAATTCATTATTTCGAAACCAAATACAAATATAACTGGAAAAGTATCAAAAGTTGGTTACTTACTTAATTCAAAACATAGATATTAGATATTTTAAAATGCATTATTATTATTAAATATTCTATGGTCACCATATTTGTTGTCAGCAAAAAGTAAAATAGGATAAATATCTGCATAATTTAACTGTCGATTTACTAGTAATTTGAGGTGATTTTGAAATACCGGTACTGTACATATTTAACTACGTATAAAATGGCTTCTAATTCAAACTGTGGTGCTCTTACAACACGCAGCATGACTAACATATGGCTGATTGGACAGTTACAAAGTGAACTTCCAGTAAATGTATTGCCTACAACAGGTGATGTCCTGAGAATGTTTTTTTATTATCATCAAGTAGAAAAGAAAACTGTGCCTGAAAGTGCAAAACTGTCGTCAGATAAGGTCATGGACATGTGGAACAAGGCTAGAATACCAACAACCTACCATACTCATGTTGTAGAAAAAGTAAAGTCGGTAGTTTATGACTACAAGCTAATAAAAAAGATCAAAAACAGACAAAGTGAAGCACAACGAGCACGAGAGAAGGAATTTGAAGAAAAGGAGCACATGCTGTTTGATATTGCTCACCAACACGCCATGCAGCTCATCCGAATTCAGGAAGATATAGAATTTCTTGAAGACCAGAGGGGCAGTCGACGAATGCAAATGAGTGGCATTGATAAAGACCTGACCAAGAAAGAAGAGCACACAGAACAACGTAAATGCAAAGAAGAAGAGAGAAAAGAGCGAGAGCAGGAGCGGATGACAGAAAGTACCTCACTACATTTATCTAGTTCTGATGACAGTGATAGTGAACAGCAGGACACAGAGGACAACCATGAAATTGAAATTCCAGTGTACTACAAAAAGCAGATCAGTGAAGTAAAAGACAGTCTGTCAAGCAGTGCCAGCAAAAAAACACGAACTGTGCAGGATATGTTGTCGTCGCCAGATGTTGCTTCAGCACTGGATAGAATAAACCTGTCAGATAGAAAGTTCACAATATTAGCAGCAGCCATTGCACAAGCTAGTGGGCAAGAGATCAGGGATACATCTCTGTCACGTTCCACAGTTCATCGTAAACGACAGCAACATCGATCAACCATTGACAGCAGTATTCGTGAACAATTTCAGGATCGTGACAGAAACCCCCTTCTGGTTCACTGGGATGGGAAGATCATGAATGATGATCCACACTCTTTGATATAAAAGGACAAACTACCATGTTACACCAACAGCTTCTGATACTAAAAGAATCTAGTTTTCCCATCCTGTGGTGTTGTTCAGGTCAGAAAATAAATTTTTTTTCATGTTCATTTTTATTTGCATGCTGGAAAAATATAGATCTTTAATTTCTTCATAAAACATATTACCTAATATATATTTTTTGACTAATTCATATTTTTTAATCAGATTTGCCGTGTCACTGAAAGACACTTGTAAATGGTGACAGACTGGTCTAAAATGAATAGAACAATTGTTGTATCAAGTGTTTTCAGTGAGTTGGCGAATAAAGATCCATTAAATCTTAAAGATCATATCATTGAACGTGCAAATAATATAAATAATCATTTTTTTTCTTAATTGAGATTGATAACAAAAACATGTACAGATGTTTTTTCTTTTCATTTGGCCAAAAACAATAGCCAGTTGAAAATTAGTTCAAAATATCATAAGCTAACTCACTTTTGAGGCCAGTGAAATTTTATACTTATTTAAAAAATTATATTTTCACTTACAGAGAATGATTTATTTATTTATTTATTTATTTATTTATTTATTTATTTGAATTTCAATTAAACATCTGGTTTCTGTGACTTTTTTGCATTTCTAAATCTCTCTTTTATTATAATTTTTTTGTTAATTTTTAAACATTTAAATATTTCTTAATTGAAACCTGTTGTTATTGTTATTAATTTTAAAACGTTTTTACTGAGAGTCATATTATCATATCAGTAATCTGGTCAACTTCACCTATTAATTGAACATTCTTCACACCAACATTAAACAATTTCCAGCATTTCTTATCATTTTTTAATCTTAATTTTTTTTTTATTTAACCCCTTTTTAAAAAATATAAATAGGTATGGGCATTTATTAATTTATAACTTTTCAGCTATTATACAAAAGTATCAATGTTTTCAGATAAATGTAAGACGTTATTTTTTCATTTTTAGGACCATTTAGATATTGATAAATTTAAATCTAAATATTGTCAAAAGAATATGATGTATTATGTATTTTAGAAATTTTTTATCTGCAAATTTAACAAACATTTATTTCATTAAAGCTATAAATGTTATATGTAAATATTTTTGTAAAATGTTTTGAAAATGATTATCTCAAGATTCACTATTTTTTATTACACTGAATTTCGCTGCACCCCAACAGTAGGGTAACGTGGGGCAATACGCCGCATGGGGTAAGAAGCCTAAATTCAGTTTGCACGAAATTTGTTTAAGACCGAAAGCTGTTCAATTAATTTTTAAAAATTAAAACGCACTCTTATTATTTTGAATTTAAAACCACGCCATTTTCCCATTTGTTTCTTCTGTTTTAGAGTTTTATATAATTTGCAAGTGAAAAATTGGTTGTGTTATAAATTTTGTGTTCAGGTTTTTAATTAATTTCTTGATAATAAGATCGTCATTTGTGATGAAAAGAGGTTTTTTTTATATAAAAAAAAATCATTTTCACATATACAATTTTTTGTATTTTTAAATTAAATTTATTCTTAACATTGTCTATGGGTGTAAAACGCCTCTGTAACTTAAGGGCAAGAGGCTCAATTTACATTTATTGAACTATTAGACAAATTTCAGATATTTGTATGTAGGCAGCTATCTTTGTAGTTAATTGTTAAAATGTATTGAAATTTACGTTTTAAGTGTAAATTAATTTCATATATTTCAATTTTCCAAGGTATAAAATGGTCAGAAGTTATGTAAGAAAATCTACAAGATGCTCAACTTATGATGGTAAAAGTTTGAAAAAGCATTGGATGCTCTAACCAATGGCCAGTTACTTAGTAAAGTTATCAGAGAATATGGAGTTCCTGCAAGAACTTTAAGAAGACATCAAAAAGCCGTGACAACATCTCTGGGAACTATAAAGCTTGGTCGATTTAATACCATTTTTACAATGGATCAAAGATTGCAGCTTGTAGATATCATACAAAATATGGAACAATAAATATTTGGAATGACCACAACAGATGTCAAAAAAGTGGCCTTTCAATTTCAATTTGCCAAAAAATTAAAGGTGGATCATCCATTCCATGTTGGTACACAGATGGTTGGATTAGATTGGCTGTATGGTTTCTTTGGAAGGCATCCAACACCATCAATCAGAAAACCTGAACCGACGAATATTTCTCGTCTTCTCGTATTTATTTCTTTTTAAGAAAAAGCCAAAGTCAAAGGTCGTAGCAGTAAAACAAAAAACAAAACGGTTGTCAAGCGATCTAAATAGTTGACTCCTTGTGGGACAAGTTCACAAATTTTTTGTAATGATTTCACAGGATTTCAATGGATAAAATGCCAAAAATGTAACATTTGGCATCATAATTCCCGTCAAGGGCCGGAAGAAGACCATCGTGGAATTTTTTTTATTTTACAAAAATCACCTTTAAAAAGTCAGTGAGTGGATTAATGCATTGAATGGCAGGTGTAGAGGTTTTGAAATGAAGAGATCATACATATGTAGTAATCATTTTGATTCACAATCCTTTTGCAAATTAAATAAAAAAAGTCACTCTAAAGAAAGGCAACAATATGAAAACTTATGAATGAATGTAATAAATTAAAAATGAATTAGCTACATACAAAGGTTTTGTGTTATATAACCATAGCGAAATGAATTGAAATTTTTATTAATTTTTTGTTTATTTTTGCTTCTAGATAAAATTGAAATCTAAAAAAGATTGTCTTAAAACGACTGGGTACAATGAGTTCAAAAACGACATTTTTTGCTGTTATAAACATTATTTACGACCATATACATGTAATATTGTTATATGTTATATTCCATATAAGTACATGTTTACGACGTTAAGATAGTATTGAAACCTCCCACTGACTCGCTAACTTCTCACAGTTATCATGGCAAACAACAAACAACACCAATGTTTTTTAAATGTAAGTCTTTTTATTTTATTACTATTATTTTTAAAAAATTAAAAAACAGGTGGAGAGATGGTGGAATCGGGCCTTCTACCGAGGAGAACGGTTGGCCAGATCAAAGACAAGTGGAGAACGATAGCTGGCATGCACAGGTTATTAATGAATGAAAATATTTCAATAATATTATTTAACTTACTAGAAAATAATTTTTGCTAATTTGGCTGCCTTTGTAAGATAATACCATATTTCAATGGAGGAGTTGGCCTAAAAATTATACAGGCCATGTAGTTTTGTTCAAGCCCGACAATGACACAACAACAACGTCAACAGAATCAGAGGTTTTACACCCAAGAACTTGTTTTAATTTTTGTCTATTTTATGCATTGAATCAAAGAAGACAGAATACGATTTCAATGCGTACATTGACTCCGCGAAATTGAAGAGCAGGAAAAAAGTTCTATAACTGTAATAAACTGACAATCGTAATTTCTAACTAGTATCTATAGCTGTAGTATCTATGCATTTTAAATAATACATGGGTATGAGTGTTCTAACTATTGTTGTATTATGATCATTGATCGCCTTATAGGCGAGAGGGCCCCAAATTGGTCGTGAGCCTAGGGCCATAGTTTTTGTAAATACGCCTCTGCTCGTGGTTGTTTTAATAAAAGTTGAATTTGTCCAAAAACCAAGGTTACATTAATTTTATAATTTATAATTGTTTAAGCATTAACTTATAATGACTTATAATAACGAGTAATATATGTTATAATATTTTGAGAACATTAGGATGGCTGACGGCGTGACGTTTACTGACCTGGTCGTGCGTCTAACAAAAAATAGACGCGTAACGAGGCAGTGGCTCAGATTTCACGGACTAACCTACAGTGAAATGTACTGTTATAATTATGGTTGCAAAATGGTAGAGGTCGCATGTAATAACAATGTAAAGAAGGATGGAGTTTCTGGCGTTGTCTGGCAAGAGGGTGCCAAAGAAGGTTACATAAGTTTAATATTTGAAGTATTTTTTAATTTATTAATTTAAATGTTAATCAATACTTATCAATTATTCAAAAAAGATGCAGCATCAGGACAGACTCCTTCTTTGAAAGAAGTTACCTAAGACTAAGCTTAATTGTTCGTATGGTGTATTTCTGGTCACAAAGAGTGTCAGTGAGTCTGACATATCACGAACTGAAACTGAGCCAAAAAACAGTTGTTGATTGGTTCAATTTTTGTCGTGACATTTGTCAGTTTAAATGCGTAGAGGTTAAAAGTCAAAGTTTGTCAACAATTTAATAAAAATTGAAATTATATTACAATGCTCAAAAAATTATTTATAAATTAACCAGATAGGTGGCCCTGGCACTATCGTAGAGATTGATGAGTCGAAAATAATGAAGGCCAAGTATGAGAGGGGGAGAAATGTGGGTGCCAATGAAGGTTGGATTTTTGGAGGAATCCAATGTGGTACAAAACTTTGTTTTGTGGAAGAAGTCGTGGCCCGGGATCACAAACTTTGTTGCCGTTCATACAAAAGTGGATTGCTCCTGGCACAACTATCGTGTCAGATGAGTGGCGTGCCTATAGCCAGCTGAGAAATAAGGGCTACACTCATTTGACAGTCAACCACTCCCAAAATTTTGTTGACTCAATGACAGGAGCACACATCCAAAACGTTGAATCTATGTGGACACGATTGAAAGCCAAATTCAAAGTAATGTGCGGCACGTCGAAGAGCCTGAGGAACACTTACTTGGCAGAATTTCTGTGGCGCGAACAGTACGACGACCGACCGTTTGGTAATATTATTAGGCACATACGCCATAAACACAACATTTGTTAAATTTTTAAAGTTTTATTTACTAACTTTTGCAATTTTTTTACTTGGTATAATAAATTTTTCTTATTTTTTTCGTGTATTTATAGGCTATAATAAATAAACATACAATTTTTTTTACTTGGTATAATAAAATTTTCCTCATTTTTTTGTGTATGTTATAGGTTATATATGTACAAATATTAAAGACGTTTAATACATAAAAATGAAATGATGTGTAATACTCGTACAAATTTTAAATAAAATATATAATATAATCACAAACGCAAATTTAAATTATTACATTACAAAAATCTATTTTAATTTCAATGCACTTTTCGAATTTCAGTAGGAGGAGCTTATTTTACTTTCTATTAGATTAGAGATAGTGAGTGCAAACTTGGTTCGGAATGTAAAGGTAAACTTATACCCCTTTTTAAAAAAACATGTAAGAATTGAGAATAACAAACCTTTAGTTTAGTTAGTTTAACTTGATATAGCGGTCTGACTGATGTCTGATAAACTTCTTGACCCTCTTCTTCACTAATCTCCTCTTCGTTAAAGGTCTAATCATGGCCATCATTTTACAAAATTAGTTAAGAGAATATATCGTTAATACAAATAAAATGCGATTATAAATGGTTTTTTATTGTACAAATAATAACATTTAAAGAAAATAAAAAAATTAATGTGTCGTATCATTGAATATATAAACCACTTTAAAACATTTAAAAAAATAATTAGCCTCAAATAAATGCAATAACAAGGGATTTAAAAAGGAGACATTGACATCGAGCGATATTCTAGTTATAAGGAGCGAATAACATTTTGTTGACCGGGGGAAAAAGGAGGCCGAATACTACAAAACTTGAATTGTTACAAAAAAATTTACTTTAAAATTAAGCGAAGACATCCAGAATAGCATGTAAATGTATTTTCATCGTAATATTATTTTTTGGCCATTGTTTTAAAAATATTGAAAGAAAATTTTCATTTTTATTTTACAATAATCGGTTTATTTGAAACATGATTATTCTTTCATTTCTTTACTTGTAGTAGAAGCAGTAGCGGTGTGCATCCAGTACTTTTTGGGCTAGCGGTTCTTTGACAAAAATTCTAACACCATTTTTGGCCTTCTTTTGACCATTCCAGAATAGTTTAGCCAAAATAATGATTTTATTATGATTAATCACGTTTGTTTTTTGAATCAGCACAAACTTTTTTGCTTATCAAACCCTAAAACTTATTCTCATTTAACATGCACTTCATCTCTGGACCAGTCAAAAAATAGCTGGACAAAAATTTTTCACCTGGGTAATTTCAAATTGAAATAAGTAATTTATCTTTTAAACTATATATGGACAAAACCAATCAAAATAAAACCAGGTTTTACAAATGTTATAATTGATGTAATAAAAAAAATGTGAAAAAAATCCATCAAAATAGTGCAAATGCTCTTTAATCCTTGATTCAATGTCAATAAAGCCTCAAATAACGTATAATAGGAAAATTTGTTTGTAAATTTGTGAGGTTAAAATATAGCATATTTTGGCAGCCTATGCTAGTTTATTCCTTATGTATTTTATTTATTTATTTCTGATTTTTTTTGTTTCCCATTTATCTATAAGCATTTGTCTTCAATTTTTTTTAATTTCATTGATGTTAAACATAAATTATCAAACGCATTGTTTATTTGTAAAGATGACTTTATCGGATATGTTAACTATGGAGATGGGAATGAGGACATAGTTGCTTCAGAGGTGTTGGTTTTTTATGTTGTTGGTCTGAGAGAAGCTTGGAGACATTCAATAGCTCATTTTTATACAAATAAATTATCATCTCACAATTTGAAAGATTTAACAGAGAAAGCAATTGATAAGTTACATAATGCTGGAGTTAGGCTGGGTAAACAACATTTGTTTTTCTTAAAAATGTTAAAATTTTTATACGTTACATTTATTTTTTAAGGTTGTCCCACTGATAACGGATGGGTTGGCAACTAACGTTTCGGCATGTGGATTGCTTTGAAAAATTTTGATGCTCTTTCTGCACACTTCCAATCATGCAAACAAGTTTCTTGTCCCCAACAACCGGCCAGAAAATATATATCATATTTGATGAATGCCACACGCTGAAATTAATGAGGAATATGTTTCACACTCCTATAATATAATGTCTTATAATAATAATCCAATAAAATGGAATCATATCGTAAACTTAGTTAATTACCAACAACAAATCAAAATGAAATTAGGAAATAATATAACCAAAAACCATGTAAATTTTGAAAAGCATAAGATGAAAGTTAAATCTGCATCTCAAGTCTTTAGTTGCTCTGTGACTAAATCATTGGAACTCTTAAACGGATTTGATGATTTTTCTGACGTTTCTGAAACAATAGCTTTTGTGAAAAACATCAACGATCTTTTCGATATATTGAACAGCAAACTGATGCTAGATGGAGAATGGAAGCAATCCATTACAAAGAGCAACCCGACAGGAAAGAAGATGGAAAACGGAATGAAGATGGCAACCGCATCCTTGAGTTTGCTGAAAGTCACGGGTTTTGTTTACTGAACACATATTTTAGAAAGAGGTTGGAACATCTCATAACATACAAAAGTGGAGCATCAGCCACGCAAATTGATTTCTTTGCTGTCAAGCAACCACACCGAAGGCTGTTTAAAAACGTCAAAGTTATACCAGGCGAATCATGTGTCGCCCAACATAGACTCCTTGTGGCAGACCTGGTTGTCGAACTGTCAAAACATAAGTCTAAACAAATGCCTCGGAGAATCAAAACGTGGAAGCTGAAAAGCAATATTCATCGAGAAAAATTTCAACAGATTGTCGCCACACATTTAGACCACCAATCGCAAGCCAGTACAGATTGGAGTACATACAAAACCGTTTTAATGAACGCTGCAACTACAGTTTGTGGGAAAACTGGTACAAAACGTCAGCATGAACGTGACACTTGATGGTGAAATGACAGTGTACAAAATGCAATAGCTGAAAAGAAAGTTGCATATAAGCAATGGCAAAAATCAAAGTCTGTAGATGACCATAAAATTGTCCGTGAGAAGAACAACTATGCAAAACGTCAAGTTGCACTGGCTCGGACAGATCAGTGCAGAGAGTGGCTCACTAAAAGCAAAGGTGAACAAATGAAATCTCTGTATCGTATAGCAAAACAAGCAAAGCGTACGAAAAGGGACATAGTTGGTGCCTCATGTATCAAAAACGACAAAAATGAGATGATTCTTGAACAAGATGAGATCAAGCTACAGTGGAGGGAATACTTCAATCGTCTGTTAAACGAAAAAAATCCCATCAATGTTAACTTTGATGCTCCACCCATCGAAGGTCCGATTCCAGGCATCACTTTAGAGGAGCTTACAGAAGCTCTGAAAGCTATGAAGGATGGAAAGGCAACAGGGCCCTCTGGACTCACAAATGACATTATTAAAGCACATGGTACTGCAAGTATCCAAACGTTACTACAACTTTGCCATGAAGTCTGGAGAATTTGCTCAATGCCGACTGAATGAAACTATAGCATGAAAGTTCCGCTATACAAAGGCAAAGGTGATCCATTGAACTGTTCATCATATCGGGGTATGCGTCTGTAAGAACACTCCCTGAAAATTGTCGAGAAAATCATTGAGAGAAGATTAACGTCGTGCATCACAATCGGAAATTATCAATTTGGTTTTCTAGCGGGAAAATCAACAATTGATGAAATTCACGTCCTTCGGCAACTGCAAGAGAAGTACCTCGCAAAGCATCAACAACTATTACACATTTTTGTAGACCTTGAAAAAGCATTTGATCAAGTTCCCCGTGAAGCAATCAGGTGGAGTCTACGTCGACAACTCATTCCAGAATATCTTGTTCGACTTGTGATGGAAATGTATACGAACACTAAGACTTTTGTCAGCACAACGGTTGGAAACACAGATGCATTTGACATCGGCGTTGGAGTTCACCAAGGCTCGATTCTCAGTCCACTGTTATTTATAACTGTGATGAAAGAAATCACAAAACCGATACGCACTGGTGACATTTGGAATCTAGTATATGCTGATGATATCGTTTTAACAGCCACGTCTCAGAATGCAGCACAGATGTTTGAAGATTGGAACACCAGACTCGCCGATCATGGATTCAAAGTCAACATCAGCAAAACCAAAGCAATGAACACTGGTGAACCCATCCAATCCACAGCTACTGGACGATGGCCCTGTTCAGTTTGTAAAGCTGGTGTAGGTAACAATTCAATCAAGTGTCAGCAGTGTAACCAGTGGTGTTACAAACGTTGTTCAAAAATAATTGGTACTTTATCTAAAGTGTCCAATTTTGTTTGTCCTGCTTGCATCAATCCACAACAACAAATTCGAAATAGCACTGTTTTTGAAGCCATTAAAATAGAGAAAGTCACATCGTTTCAATATCCAGGGGATGTTCTGGATTGTACTGGAACAGCTGAAGCTGCCGTTCGAGCACGCATACGTGCAGCCTGAAATAAATGGCATCTCCTTGCCTCTATATTGCCATAACTTCTCTTGCAGATGTTGAAGTACCTGGCACACGTCCCAAAGACTGTCCAAAGAAGTCCTGGTCGCAAACAATCGAGCATGACATGAAAGCTCTAAATTTAAATGAAATGGATACAACTGATCGTCTAATTTGGCGCAAAAAGTTGATGGCAAAGAAAACAACGTCCTACCTCGGGAAACCGGGTCTCTGGACGCAAAACGAAGATTGATTGATTGATTGATTGACTTAAAACTGCAAATTTTTAACAGTTATACCAAGTAATTTTGACATGAAAATTACAAACTGAATAAATTTAAAGCTACTCTGCAATTCACAGTTAACAGGAAATGTGTCATCATTTGAAACAGAAGAACTGCTTGGCAACATTATTTTGAGGGCAGATTTTGATGACAACGTATTTGTGAAGCATGCGTCACTGCAGTATATTGTCAACAATTGCACTGCATACATGGCAGGATGGGTGGTGAAGTCAATAACACCGACCATCTCATGCGCAGAATGCAGGTTCTTTTTTCTTCTAATGTAAACAATCTCCAAAATTCGTTTAAAATTTTGCATTAATATGCTGTTACAAATCTCAACAAATATGCTGAAAATGCTTCATTTTAGCCAGCAGGAACATATTTAGCGAATCATCAAATCATACTAAAAGACAATGGACAATTGACATATCTCTCAAAAGAAGTATTAAAAGTAAAATGATACATTTATTTGTTTTCTAGTAAAAACAATAAACTTGAATGATTTTCAGATCTACCAAGAATCAGAAAGATTATTATAAATGAATATTTATTGTTTTAAGAAAAAACTTGTAATTGAAACCAACATACTCCTACGATGTGTCAATAAAGATTTATTTAACATGGAAAATCATTTCAATGATGTACAGAATGCAAACCACTATTATGAATTAATAAAAACAATAACATCATATATAACATTAAGACATTTTAACTTAACTAAAAAGTTTTCTATCAAAAGTAGATTAAATAATAAAATGCAACAAAAATTATACAATTTAAATTTATTAAATCAATTGTTTTATAGAATTTGTACAGTGCTTCTAATAGACTACATTAGAAGCAAATTCTACAACCTTAGTTTATATATATATATATAAGAAAGATAAATTTATAATAAATAATTATGTAAATCAAACATTTTGCAGTTATACAACAAATAAATTAATAAACAAGACCGTAATCCAGAAATAAAAAAGGTGGGAATGATCTAAATTCTAACTTGACTCATCACGAATAATTATAGCAAGATAGACGTTTTATAATCAACAAGCAAGAAATATAACGATTTACACATAAATATAATATTATACATGCTCATGATCTAGCACCTTCAGGGTTATTTTATAAATAGTAATGTTAACTAAAAATTATTAAACATTACATACCTATTCTATTAAAAATCAACAGTTGTTCGTTTTAAAAATTAATAGCCTAACAAATTAGATGTTAGCTTTTAAACTATTATTATGTTTTTAATATATTAATAACGTCAATTACGGTTGAACCTAATTATACAACCTCAACCTTTTGCAACCTCAGTGCGGAAGGCACTGAGGTTGCCAAAGATGGCACAAATTGTCATACAAGGGAAGTAAGTTTCACAGAGTCATTAAAGATTTTATGATTCAAGGTGGTGATTTCAACAAAGGAGATGGGACAGGAGGTTGTATAATGTCCTTGTTCAAATTTTATTTCAGAGTCTTTAAGAGTCTTACCTTACTCTTATGATAGGTTTTGCTACACTTATTTTAATGATTTTCTTTAAAATATGTTAATAGATTAGGTTTGACAAATAGAGCTTCTTTTCTAACCAGTTAAATTAATTTTTTTAAATCATGACCGAGTTTAGTAGGTTTATTTATTTTAAGTAGCTCATTTCTTTTGGTTTTTGTTCAGTATACTGTTAAAAAGTGTGCCAAATGTGATACTAAATTCTATATTTTTTTTTGAAAAGCTACGTTAGCTGAGGTGTTGTTTTTGCAATTTATAATAAAAAATTTTTCTTTTGAATAATTTTATTATCTCAGTCTCTTATTAGGTAATAAAATCTCTAACTCGATCCTGGGCATGACATAAAACTGCATCCACACTGCCTTGCGTGCTTTTGAGCAAAAAGCTAGGCCCACCGCTTATAACTGGTAGTTGTCGTCAGGATGGGTGTCCGGATATAAAAACTTTTCCCCAAATTATTCCTATGCCATTACAAAAAAAACAACGGCCCCTAGTCCCCAGCAGGCCTTAAGTGGTCAAGGGGTGCTAATAATCCCTGGGAAGTATGCAATAGCAGAGGGATGTTGCAGAAAAATTCAGAATGGCCCGTCTATGGTACTTAGACTTGGAACGCTCAATGTTGGATCATTGACTGGCCGCAGCATGGAAATTGCAGAAATGCTCGAGCGTAGAAGGATTGACATCTGCTGCCTTCAGGAAACCCGATTTAAATCGAATGGTGTTTGTCATGTCAACTCAGACAAAGAAAAATATAAACTATTCTGGAATGGTCAAAAGACGGCCAAAAATGGTGTTGGAATTTTTGTCAGAGAACAGCTAGCCCAAGAAGTACTGGATATTAAAAGGATTAATTCACGTCTCATGTGGATCAAGTTTCGCCTAGAAAAACAAACAATGATTATTTTTTCTGCATACGCACCACAGACAGGCGAATCAGAAGAGATGAAAAATGACTTCTGGGCTGCATTCTCTGACACCATCTCAACAATACCAAAATCTGAAACTATCCTGATTGGAGGCGATCTCAATGGCCACGTTGGGGAGAAAACAGATGGTTTTGACAACGTGCATGGCGGTTTTGGCTATGAAAAACGGAATGAAGATGGCAACCGCATCCTTGAGTTTGCTGAAAATCACGGGTTTTTTTTACTGAACACATATTTTAGAAAGAGGTTGGAACATCTCATAACATACAAAAGTGGAGCATCAGCCACGAAATTGATTTCTTAGCTGTCAAGCAACAACACCAAAGGCTATTCAAAAATGTCAGAGTTATACCAGACGAATCATGTGTCGCCCAACATAGACTCCTTGTGGCAGACCTGGTTGTCGAACTGTCAAAACATAAGTCTAAACAAATGCCTCGGAGAATCAAAACGTGGAAGCTGAAAAGCAATATTTATCGAGAAAAATTTCAACAGATTGTCGCAACACAGTTAGACCACCAATCGATAACCAGTACAGATTGGAGTACATACAAAACCGTTTTGATAAACGCTGCAACTATAGTTTGTGGGAAAACTGGTACAAAACATCAGCATGAACGGGACACTTGGTGGTGGAATAACAGTGTACATAATGCAATAGCTGAAAAAAAAAGCTGGATACAAGCAATGGCAAAAATCAAAGTCTGTAGATGACCATAAAATTGTCCGTGAGAAGAACAACTATGCAAGTCGACAAGTCGCACTGGCTCGGACAGATCAGTGCAGAAAGTGGCTCACTAAAAGCAAAGTTGAACAAATGAAATCGTATAGCAAAACAAGCAAAGCGTACGAAAAAAGACATAGTAGGTGCCTCATGTATCAAAAACGACAAAAATTAGATGGTTCTTGAACAAGATAGGCAGAGGCGTCATTTGGGGGGAGGCAGGTGAGGCAATTGCCCCCCCCCCAAGAAATAAAAATTCCAAATTGCGAACACTATAAAATAATTATATAAAATTATATAATTTATTATAATTATATATACAAAATATTGTGCTTTTTGAATTTTTATATGTCAAGCACTATACAATTTATTTCATTTGTTCCTACAATAATTCATGTTCTGTTTTAAAAAAAACCGTTGTGTTGTCGACATATTAACTGTCGCGTTCGCTGTTATTTTGATTTAACTGGAAGTCAATTTATATCATTTTAAGATAAAGAGTGAAGGTGAGTTTGAATACAAATTGTTTCAGTCTCGTTAATAAATTTGATCGAACTACTAATCAATAATAAATGATTAAATTAAATTAATTATCAATGATATAAAAAATATTTTAAATCATCAAGTTGGTAAGTCAAATAACAATAACTATTTTTTCTGGATATTGTAATAAATTTTATAAAAAAGTTTAGATTATATTGTAGAAAGTTGTCAGCTGGGAAATGAATTACCAAAGAAAAAAATTAAACTTATAAATTATAAAAGTGTTAATTTTAAATTCTTTGTAAAAAGGATATATATAGGATATAAAATTTAGTAATTTTAAAACTTTTAAAATTTTGAAATTTTAAAAACTTTAAAAATGTAAAATTTATTATAATGTTGCACTGACGAGACTAGGTAGTCGAAATAGTACTATATGCATACATGTAGATAATGACATCTTCTGTAAATAGGAATTTTGTTAATAGCATTAACAAGTTAAGCTTGGTAGATTGGAAAATTATTCGAAGAATCGAGAAACTATCATATAGATTGAGTACTGTAAGAAACGCCGTGATCTTTATTAATAATATATATATATATATATATATATATATATATATATATATATATATATATATATATATATATATATATATTATTACAACTTATGTAGCGCCAATTAAAATGTAAAATTTAGCAAAAGCGCTCTCAAAATGCAAAAACAAAAACAATGTTAGGATGAAAACAAATGTCTTTAACAGCCTTCTAATTGTCAACAAATTCAGACCAGGATCCCGTAAATGGTTTGGGAGATTGTTCCATATCCTAGGAGCCAAAACAGCAAAATTTTTAGATCCTATTCTTAACTGGCTTGTCTGTACAGCCAGGTAATTTGACTCATCAGATCGCAAATTGACATAATAAGGTGCCCTTCGTGTTGTTTTGTCTATCAAATATCTAGGTGCACAATTATTGATGCATTTAAAAATTAATACACAAGTTTTGAACAGAACACGATTTTTGATAGACAACCAATGTAGTTGCTTTAAAATTGGTGAAACATGGTCGTATTTAAAGGCGCCAGACACAACTCTAGCCGCACGAATTTGAATTGACTGTAACATCCCAAATGATTTTTCTGGTAAGCCGTTGAACAAACTGTTACAATAATCCAAACGCGAATGGATGAATGCATGCATTAACATCTTAAGAGTATTTTCGTCTAGCGATTTTTTTATCAATTTCAACCTACGTAGTTGGAAAGTGCAAACTCTCATCAATGATTTTATGTGATGATCCAACGTTAACTTAGAATCAATGTTAACGCCCAAACTTGAAGCATTTGTACAAAATTCCACTTTGACATTATCTATATCCAGTGATGAGATATTTATTTTTGAAAGCTGTTGCCAGGTTCATACCGGCAGTAGTTTTGTTTTACTCTGATTAAGTTTTAGTCTGTTTTTAATCATCCATTTATTGACCTCTGCCAGACAACGTGTTAAGTTGTTACCCATCTCATCAAACTCATCTGGCGGGCAACTAGCAATAATCTGTATATCATCAGCAAAGGCATGCCCCGTGAATCCAATGGACTTGATGACATCCAGGATCTCATGTGTGTACAACAGAAACAATATTGGTTCCAACACCGACCCCTGAGGAACTCCAAACTTTATGTTCTTAATTCTAGACCAGGTTTTATTGTAAAAAATCTGTTCAGTACGATTTGAAAAATATGATGTGAACCATGCGAGTACTGTCCCCTTTACACCAAAATCTTCACATAATCTCCGCAGTAAAATATCATGGTCAACACAATCGAAGGCTGCAGTCATATCTAGGAAAGCAACCAGCGATACATATTGGTTATCCATCGCTGCGCACAAAGTTGAAAAAACATGTAACAAGGCTGTTTCTGTCGAATGATATTTTCTGTATCCTGACTGATTACTATGCAACAAATTATTTTTAGACAAATGGTTTAACAGCTCGTTAGCGACAATTCTTTCCATTACCTTAGATATGAAGCGAAGATTTGATATTGGCCTATAATTGGTAATATCATTGACATCATGATCTATTCCTTTAAGAAGTGGTATAACCATTGCATGTTTAAAGGATGCAGGAACGATGCCATTAGTCAAACACAAGTTGATTAGACTTGTCAAAAACCCAAAGAACAAACCAATGTGTTTTTTGAAGAAATACGTTGGAAGGCAATCAAGTAAACATGTTTTCGTTGGACAATTTGTAATTATTTGTATTATTTCTTCTTCACTATATTTTCGGAATACTAGCAACCCACTGCCCATTTCAATCTCCTTCTCAAGAATAACTGATTTGTTACCAGCCGTTGCATCTCGAACTCGTTCAATTTTATCATTAAAAAATTTTAGAAAGCCATCACTAGTGTGCACCGTTTCAGTCTTATCAATATTGTCAACAGAGGCTTTGCAAAGTAGTTTATTTAGTGCATTCCATAATTGTTTTGGCCTGTTTCTATTCCCATTAACCAAATTTGACCAAAAACAGTTCTTTTTCTTGGCCAAAACCAACTTCTTTGATTTCAGTGCACTAATCCATTTATCTTTTCCATCACTTGACATTGAGTTCCTATAATTTCTTTCGAGCTTTCTACAGAGTCTTTTATGCTCCCGACATTCATTATCATACCATGGCACCACAGAATCATGACGACATTCTACTCTGTGTAACGGTGCAACTATATCTAAAATTCTTCTTATTTCACTTTCAAATAGGTCAAACAACTTGTCAACATCTGTACCTGAACATGCTTTACCAATCGGTGAACCAATGATCAGCGAGATAAATTTTTTTTCATCAATATGTTTCCACGATCTGATCACCCTGTAGCATTTACTGATTCGTTTCCGTTTAAAAGGCAAACAAGCTTTAACCAGCCCGTGGTCAGAATATATTCCACTTGGATAAACCATTACATCAGAAATACACAAACCACTACTGGAAACAATCAAATCCAGTGTTCCACCTAAGTTATGAGTGGGTTGGTCGATCCAATTCTTTAAACAAAAATCATCAAATAACTTCAACAATGATCTGGTATGCGGACATTCTTCTCTATCGACACGAACATTGAAATCACCTACCAAGACAAGATCTGAAACCAGCAAGGACATATTTTCCAAAATACATCTAAGTTCCCTAAAGAAAGCAGTTGTGATAGGCATTGATCCAGGTCTATATATAGCCAACAAACCAAATTCATGTTTACCATATGTTATTCTTGTTGCTATTGCCTCAAACGTAGCTAAAGATGGTAAATCAAATCGTGTGTATCTGAACCCTGTTTTAAAATAGATTATCAATCCCCCATGATATGGATCATGTTTTCTGACATAGTCAACATAACTGTACCCGTCAGGCATTGCCGATTTTACAGAAATATCATTTTGATGTCCATGCCATGTTTCTGTTAACACTAACACATTTAGTCCATCAACCAGGAGTTCATACACATCACTTGATTTGGATACAATTGATCTGATATTTAATAGTCTTAGGCATATTTTACCATCATTGAAATTGTCATCAAAGCTCAGCAATCTATTGACAAAGCCGTTTGATGAACCTTCATTTTTACACAAATCATCTAATTTTCCGTTTCCTTCATGAACTTTATGATCTTCCACCTTCCAACCGTCCCCCTTACTCTGTATAAAAAACCTTGTTGACATGCCGCCTCTTTCGCTTTAGCATCAGTCACCAAATTCTTCAGTTCACTCCTTTGCTCGCGCGTCAAATCATTACACAATCTGATGTTTTTTAAGTTATCTTCCAATGACCTAATTTTAGAAGCATGCTTTAAAAGATCCCCCTTCGTACCTAGACTATCTAACTTTATCAAGACCGGACGAATCACCGATTCATTCTTTTTACCCAATCTAAAGACCTTCTCAATACCATTATCTGACATGTCTTTTGAAATGTGCTTAAATATCTTCATCACAAGTTCACGATCGTTTTGATTTTCTTTCTCTGGCAAGTTGAAAATCACTAGATTCCTTTCTCTTCCTTTTATTTCACTGGCTTCGTTTAAGGTCCTTTGGACGTTTTTGACCTGATTATTTATAATCTCTACATTTTTCGTAATGTTTTTCTCAACGATGTTCGCCCATGAAGCTTTCAAGTAACTTTTGAGGTTGCAAATCTCATCGACCATTTTTATATCCTGTTTTTCCAACACAGTCAAATTATCATCATTTTTAGTGATCATGGTTTTAATTGTTTCTAACTGAGTCTGAACCGCAATGTTTATTTCTTCAATTTTCTCATGAAAATTGTTTACAACCGACTTTACCATTTCCTTTGTATTATCTTGGGCTTTCAGACATTTTTCACAAAACCATTTAATGCTATTTTCACTGTTCAGTATCGACACTATTTCTTCATCAAAATTAACACATTTAGCGTGAAATAAATATTCACAATGATAACATTTAACAGTTTGGTTTACGCCGTTTTTTGTTTTTACAACTATGCATTTTACACACTTTGTAGACATTGTTAGTTCAGTTCAAATTTTTTTGTACAGTCTGATTTTATAACAAGCAAAGTAACGTGGAAATGCAATTCAACTTTTGAAACAATACAACTCACAACATAAATAATATGACTATCCTTTAACACTTACAACTTTTAACTCGTCAATTTACTACGAATTTAGATTATAATAAGAGAAAATTTATTAATGTAACCCAAAATCAACCACAATTAACCAACGAAAAATTTATATGAGTGTATTCAGCAGAATTTTATCAATCCAACGCAATTAAATTAAATCGAAAAACTTTATTATAAATTCAAAAACTAAGAAAAAATACGGAGCAAAATGAATTCGACCTAACACCACAGAGCCGATATATATATATATATATATATATATATGTGTGTGTGTGTGTGTGTGTGTGTGTGTTACATGCTAAGTCATAGACCACATAAGTTCGCCCCCCCAACCAAAATCTGAAATGACACCCCTGAAGATGGGATCAAGCTACAGTGGAGAGAATACTTCAGCCGTCTGTTAAATGTAACAAATCCCATCAATGTCAACTTTGACGCTCCACCCATCGAAGGTCCGATTCCAGACATCACTGTAGAGGAGCTTACAGAAGCTCTGAAAGCTATGAAGGATGGAAAGGCAACAGGGCCCTCTGGACTCACAAATGACATTATTAAAGCATCTGGTACTGCAAGTATCCAAACGTTACTACAACTTTGCCATGAAGTCTGGAGAATTTGCTCAATGCCGACTGAATGAAACTATAGCATGAAAGTTCCGCTATACAAAGGCAAAGGTGATCCATTGAACTGTTCATCATATCGGGGTATGCGTCTGTAAGAACACTCCCTGAAAATTGTCGAGAAAATCATTGAGAGAAGATTACGTCGTGCATCACAATCGGAAATTATCAATTTGGTTTCCTAGCGGGGAAATCAACAATTGATGCAATTCACATCCCTCGGCAACTGCAAGAGAAATACCTCGCAAAGCATCATCAACTATCACACATTTTTGTAGACCTTGAAAAAGCATCTGATTGAGTTCCCCGTGAAGCAATCAGGTGGAGTCTACGTCGACAACTCATTCCAGAATATCTTGTTCGACCTGTGATAAAAATGTACACGAATACTAAAACTTTCGTCAGTACAACGGTTGGAAACACAGATGCATTTGACATCGGCGTTGGAGTTCACCAAGGCTCGATTCTCAGTCCACTGTTATTTATAACTGTGATGGAAGAAATCACAAAACCGATACGCAATGGTGACATTTGGAATCTAATATATGTTGATGATATCGTTTTAACATCCACGTCTGAGCAGAATGCAGCACAGATGTTTGAAAATTGAAACACCAGACTCGCCGATCATGGATTCAAAGTCAACATCAGCAAAACCAAAGCAATGAACCCATCCACTCCACAGCTTCTAGACGATGGCCCTGTTCAGTTTGTTTAGACGGTGTAAAGCGTAAGAATCGCACGACGAATTCGACGCTGAGATGAAAATGGAAATTAACCCGCACGCCGAATTCGACGTTGAGATGCTATAAGGCGTGCGAATCACGAACGGGCGAATACGACGCTCAGACGTTCGAAATTATAAATCGTGAGGAACCCGCATGTCGAAATCGACAATGTTGATATAACAATCATGGGTCTTTACGTAATTGTTTCGTCTTAACACATGAACAATGTCCCTGTATGCATTACTGTGTAAATATGTGTGTTTGTCTGTGTGTGTTACTATACGACACTTGATGTAATAAATTTTTTATTTTTAAAATTTTTATTCTATTTCAAAAATGCTTTACATTGTCTTAATAAACGTCAAATTTTGCGCTTTGACTGCGTCCGGTATTGTCAAAATAGTGTCAACTTTGTTGTACAAACTTCGGCCATACATATCAACGTCGAATTCGTTGTGCGATCCTCACGCTTTTCGCTGTCTAAACGTCGTATTCGCCCGCTCGTGATTTGCACGCTTTATAGCATTTCAACGTCGAATTCGGCGTGCGGGTTCCTTACGATTTATAATTTCGAACGTCTGAGCGTCGTATTCGCCCGTTCGTGATTCGCACGCTTTATAGCATCTCAACGTCGAATTCGTCGTGCGATTTTCACGCTTTACACCGTCTAAACGTCGTATTTGCCCGCTCGTAATTTGGACGCCTTATAAAAATAATAATAATAACATAAACATATATGAATAGACGTTCAGAACATCTCAACGTCTATTTCGCCGTGTGGCCTCAGGCTTCATAGCATTAACACGTTCAATTCACCATGCAGATTTCTCACGCCTTATAGCAACTTAACGGCGTGTTCACCGAAGCATCTCAGCGGCGTGTTCGCCGTGCGAATCCGCACGCCTTATAGCACTGGCCTTTTTTTTAAAAAATATTAATAACATTTCCTTCTTAAAATAAAATTTTTACCGATTTCTTTTCGATTTCTAGAATCTAATTTTGTTTAGGAATGATGAGAGCCTTACTCTAATGAAATGATATGAAGTAAATGAAGTCCATCATCATCATGATTCGTTAGTGATGGGTGAATGAATGAAGAAATCTTTATTTAAGAAAAATGAGGATCACTCATGGGCGGATCTAGACAACTTTGACAGGGGGGGCCAAAACTGGGATATTAAGGTTTTAGTTAGTTTGACTTTGACACATACTACAATAATTCAAGTCTAGTCGGGTAATGACTGGTACGCATTAACCCTAACCCAAAAATGTTTTTATTATTCAGCTTATTGCTAATTTTTTTTAGTTGAAAATACAAATTTATTTCATATGCAATTATTGAAATATCTAGGTATTACCATGATTAACGGCCTCAAGTGTATTGATATCGCACTGCTTCTGTTTTTTGCCGGAGTCGGTTGAAAAAAGTTTAAAATACTACTTTTTACAAATGACAAATTTTTTTAATTTTAAGACGAATTCAAATGCAAACTGATTTTATGAAACACAAAAAAATAAGACGCGCCAAATCGTAAACGGAATAAAGTGTGAACTGTGAACAAAACATAAAATTATCAAAAGTCTAAATAAGTAAAGACTATAATATTTTTTTATTTACTTTTTGTTGATATTAGTTTTCAATAAAAGAAATATACTAAGAAAACATGAATAATTTTTTTTTGTGCCGCAAAACACTATTTAAGTTTAAAATATGAATTATATTCTGAAATAAACTTGTATCAAATTTATATAAAAGAAATATACTAAGAAAACATGAATAATTTTTATTTTGTGCCGCAAAACACTATTTAAGTTTAAATTATGAATTATATTCTGAAATAAACTTGTATCAAATTTATATAATAAATCCATGGATATAGTGGATATGGCACAAGAATTAATCCCCGGCTAATAATTTTTTTTAGTTCTATGGAATAGAGAACATAATTTGAGCGTAAACATTTCTTCATTGTAGTTGACATTTCGTTTTACTGTTTTAAAATTTAAATTTAATCGCCTACACGAAGTTTTCGTTTCTTTATATCATAACATTTAAATAAGTCGCTTTTTTCGTCTCTACCGACTTAGTTATCAAATAGAGATTGTTTGTTGAAAATAAAATGATTTTAGATTTTGATTCCGGAAAATTTATGGCAAAATGTAAGGATGTTCATATTTATTTCAATATTTGACATTCATACATTTTGCTCAATTGTCCTGGAAATAAAACATCTTTTGGATGAATCTACTACACATACACTTTGATACATACATTCATCCACCTGGATTAATAACAAGTGCAGTTATCTTCAATGTCATCAAATTATAAATTTTTTTAAAATCTGAACAAATGTTATAAAATAAAGGTTTAATTCAGAATTTAATGACAAACTAGTCATTATGATTCAGGATTTTGGCAAATAAATGGATGTTCATAATTATTTTAATATTGATATTTATACATTTTGTTCAATTTTTCTAAAATGAAACATCTTTTGGATGATGCTAGAAGTTAGAGGCTAACCGTTATTTTATATGTACATGTAGTGGTGCTACAAATCAAGGCACAATATGTTCCAATAAATTGTTAAGTTGTTCATTGAAAAAAAGAAAATAAATGGACTAAGTGATATATGAAGACATAAATTTTAAAAAACGTAAATGGCAAAAACAAAAAAATTACTGAACCTGCATCAAATACTATTAATATAATGAACTTAGTTGAAACTGATCGACATGGAATTTAATTAAAATCAATCAACTATTTAGTATAATTAAACATTATTATATTTCATAATATAAAAAATATGTATATGTATAAAATTATTATTGCTAATTTATTATGCTCAAATACTGTTGGGGTGCAGTGAAGTTCAGCGTAATAAAAAATAATTATTATTGAGAAAATTATTTTCAAAACATTTTACAAAAATATTTACATCTTTAATGAAATAAATGTTTGTTAAATTTGCAGATAAAAAATTTGTAAAATACATAATACATCATATTCTTTTGACAATACTTAGATTTAAAGTTTAAACTTATCAATATCTAAATGGTCCTAAAAATAAAAATAACGTCTTACATTTATCTGAAAGCATTGAAACTTTTGTATAATAGCTGATAAATTATAAATTAATAAATGCCCATACCTATTTATGTTTTTAAAAAAGGGGTTAAATAAAAAAGAAATTAAGATTAAAAAATGACAAGAAATGCTGGAAATTGTTTAATGTTGCTGTGAAAAATGTTCAATTAATAGATGAAGTTGACTAGATGTACCAATATAATAATATGACTCTCAGTAAAAGCGTTTTAAAATAAATAACAATAATCACAGATTTCAATTAAGAAATATTTAAATGTTTAAAAATTAACAAAAAAATAATAAAAAAGAGAGATTTAGAAATGCAAAAAAGTCACAAAAACCAGATGTTTAATAGAAATTAAAATAAAAAATAAATAAATCATTCTCTGTAAGTATAAATAAAAAATTTCACTGGCCCTTAAAGTGAATTAGTTTATGATATTTT